ACCATCAAGACGCCTGCCATTTAATATAAATAAATAAATAAACTATGGGCTTGAAATGAGCCTCGATTCAAATGGGGAAGCACAACTCTTTCACTCTATCTATCCCTCCCCCTCCTCCCCCCCCCCTATTTTGATCGTTTCCAATTCTGATTAAATTAGTGAGTCATGTGACATCGCCTGCCATATCGGATCACCATGAATAGTCAATGCCCCACTTTCCTGACAACAACATACCGACCTCATACATTTATTTATATCAAATGGCAGACGTTCTGATAGTTATCACTAGCCCTTTAGTTGACTTTAGGCTTCACAGAGGGGAGGAGGAACATCAAAGTGGAAAAAAAGTCGAGAGGGCGGGGGAGCAGAAGAGTTCTTCAAAGACGAAGGTAGAAAAAAGGTGAGGTGAGTACTGTGGAAGTAGTCGAATATGGCATACAGTGGGACCATGGCAGGCGTTTTGATAGCTATCATTAGCCCTTTAGTTGACTTCAGGCTTCACAGAGGGGAGGAGGAACATCAAAGTGAGAAGAATTCGGAAGGGGGAATAGATGAGTGATTTACAGATGTACAGGAAACGGATAGACACAAAGGCTCAGAAAGGGTAAGATGAGTACTGTGGTAGGGTCGAATATGACATACAGTGGGGGTGATGGTAGTTTGAAGTGAGAAGTCAACTGCCGGTTAATAGACTTTTGCCGTATGAGTATACGTTGCCCAGGGTGCACCACGAGGGGGTATGTCTATCCCACACCCCATGCAACTAATATTGTCTCGTTCGTTTGCAATTCCATTGTAAAATAAACAGTTATTGTGCCTTGTTACCACCGGCAACATGCTTATCAACTAGCTCTCTTTGCAGAATTCAATTAGAAATCGCTCAAATGAACATCGAAAGTAGGTACATGTGAGAAAAAAAACTCGTGCATTTGGGGACGTTTGTATGCTATAATTAATGTATCAAGTGAGCGGAATGCTCACCCGTGGAGGACAATAGAGGCAGGCTTTATGATAGTTATTATTAGACCTTTAGTTGACTTCGTACTTCACAGAAGAGAGGAGCATCAAAGTGAGAAAAAGTGGAGGGGGGGGGGGGGAACAGAAGAGTGAGTCAAAGATGTAAAAGAGACGAACAGACAGACACAAATGTAGAGTGTAGAGCAAGGTGAGTACAATGGAGGCGGTGGAATATGGCATAGAGTGGGGTAATGGTAGTTTGAAGTGAGAAGTCAACTGCCGATTAATAGACTTTGTCGTATGAGTATACGTTGCCCAGTGTGCACCACGTGGAGGTAAGTCTTTCGAACACCCCGTTGTGAGAAGTAATCTCATTTAAAAAAGTCACGGCGGATTGAAGTTCAGAACGTATTGTGCTACCGTGGATTTGGGATTCCTTCCATTCTCTGTCTCCTTCGATTAATTCAATAAGGACTTAACGTGTTAGTTGAGGGACAGGAGAGGTTATGGGTAAATTGATAAGGCCACCAAGACATTAGCGCAAGAATGGTATGATTAATTTATTGGCCGAAGTAGACACCAATCTTCCTTGCACTGTTGAGGATGTAAATTGCATTGCATTTTTTTGGCACAATTTAAAAAAAAACAAAACAATGAAAACTGTGTCCAATCAATGCTTTAATTCAAGGAAGTGCACATTTGCTGCTAATGGAGTAGACGTTGAAGGGGGTTGTTGAAGTGCGCATTCTTTATCTCCCTCTTCCGAATCGAAACTAAGACTCCCACTGGGTGTCTAGTGAGGACCTCGGCTTTCACTGTGACATGCCAATAGTTTTTGATTGCCATTTACAAATTCCGGCCCCTTAAAACGTCAAAGCATTTTGAAACGCTCTGGCAGTTACGCATATTCGCCTATTTTGTTGCAGCCTTTGACAAAATGCTTTCAATTGAATGGGCTTAGTCCAAAGATCCAGGATCATCCTGTTTACTTTTGTAGATTTTACTTTCCATTATTTTTTTTGTTTAAAAGCTCGAGAATTTGAAATATTTTGGAATGATTCATTTTCTGCTGAGATGCATTCTCACGTTCACTCTCTGAGAGAGAGAGAGAGCGGGGTGGGGGTGGGGGAGCGATGTGAGGGCTCATTTCTCTCTCTCTCTGTTTGCATTTCTTCGCAAAATGACAGGCGAATGATGAGTTGCCAGCTAAAATTCGAAAATTCCCACCCCTCACTACGAGATAATTGGCCTGAAGACCGGGAAAGATTGCATAATTAATTCGGACGTTTAAGTGAAACGTGTGTGTGTGTGTGTGTGTGTGTGTGTGTGTGATGTCATGCTTAAATTTAACAAAAACGAACGGTTTTGTTGGGTGTTTTTGTTTGCAGTTTATTTTAAGAGCTGGGTTGTTGGTGAGGGGGGCGGATTGCCTCAGACTTTTCTTTAAAAAATAAACAGTTGAAATTGGCATTTAGAAGGCTTGAAATAACTACATTCTGCCTTCAAAGACCTAAAGGAACACTTCATCTGGGTTTTCTACGTCTTTTCTGGTTCCGAGTATATTCTTAGCAGAATGCCAAGTAGGGGGTGTTGTTTTGGATTTGTGGCGCTTTCGATTTTTTTATTCATCGTTGAAATGTGAGTATTTGAACTCGGTGAGTATCTTTGTTTCTTTTACTCTATTTCTATTTTATGCTCTGCACGTTGGCATCATCCTCTCCTGAGCAATGCAACATTATTGGCTGAATAACATCATGTAGGTGGTGTTTAGATTTGAGCATACACAGCTCCTACTCTAACAGCAAGACGCTTAAGTACATTCAGTCTATTGGAGACTCGTTCTGCTATTTTAGCAATGTGACTTTTCCACGTTAGCTTTGAGTCAAACGCCATTCCGAGATATGTGAACTCATTGTTTTTTCTAGGGTAGTATCCTTGTTCCTTAGAAGGGGGTTTATGCTGTGACGGGCCAAAGAAAATGTTTAGAATGCAGTTTTTTGCGGTGTTGATAACCATTCCGTTGTTGTCGCACCAGTTTGCTAGTAGTTTAAGTGCATAATTAAGGGCACTTTCCGTCCTCTCCTGATCGTTTTTCTTAGGGGCGGAATACCATAGAACAAGATCGTGTGCATAAAGTAAGCACTTGATGCCCGTGACTGTACTAATTCGGCTATGTCATTGAACTGAAGACATTGAAAAGAGTGCCCCTGTGAAAGGCCTGTTTGTAAAGGATTGGATTTTGATAGAGCATTTAAGCTGTTTGTAAAAGATTGGATTTTGATAGAGCATTTCCAAGGCAAAAGATTGGATTTTGATAGAGCATTTCCGTATCTGAGAGATCGGATTTTGATAGAGCATTTCCATATCTGACTTAACTGGATTTACATCAAGACCTGTTTGTAAAAGATTGGATTTTGATAGAGCATTTTTACCTGACTTCACATGATCTTTGTCCAATGAATGCTTTTATCCAGCTTAGCATGTTATGCTTTGTAAAATGAATGCTTTTATCCAGTTTAGCATGTTATGCTTAATCCCAATTTTCGCAAATTTTAGAATTAGCTTCTCTTTCCATACTAAGTGCCAAGTTTTAGAATTAGCTTCTCGTTCGATACTAAGTCATATGCTGATTTGAAATCGACGAAAACAGCATATTTCTTGCATCAATGGCATCTTTGATGTGTTGGAAGACCAATTTTCGAATTAGCTTCTCTTTCCATACTAAGTCATATGCTGATTTGAAACCGACGAAAACAGCCGTAAGAGTATTTCTTGCATCAAGGGAGGTGAATACAGCCGTAAGAGTATTTCTTGCATCATGGGCATGAAACAGCCGTAAGGGTATTTCTTGCATCAAGGGCATCTTTGAAACAGGATACTAAGTCATATGCTGATTTGAAATCGACGAAAACAGCATATTTCTTGCATCAATGGCATCTTTGATGTGTTGGAAGACTGCATCAAGGGCATCTTTGATGTGTTGGGCGAAAGTGGCTAGTGAGAGTGCAAGAATGGTGGGTTGCTTGGTCTCCAACTGTACTTTTGGCCTCCCCAGCACCCCACACGTATCCTCAGACATCATAGGCAGGAGGAAGGAGAACAGGTTTTCATTATATTCCATCGAAAACGCTTTTCTTTTTACAATTACACTCAAGTTATGGGCATCGGGCGGTCCATTTCATATTAGCCCACAGTAAGAATTTAAGAGGAGAAAACACGGTCGATGTATAAATTGCGTTAGATGAAAAATTTCTACTTATTCTTGATTATATTTTCATCATCATGGGGTGTGCGATAGACTTACCTCCACGTGGTGCACCCAGGGCAACGTATACTCATACGGCAAAAAAGTCTATAAACCGGTAGTTGACTTCAGACTCCAAACTACCATCACCCCACTGTATGTCAAATTCGACTTCTTCAACCGTACTCACCTCACCTTTTTTCCAACTTTGTGCCTGTCTCTTTTACATCTTTCAAACACTCTTCTGTCCCCC